ACCCATCCACCCATCCATCCATTCATACACCCATCCATCATCCGCCCATCCATCATCTATACTGAGCGCCCATAGTGTACACCTCTGATCATGTTATTTTAGTTTGGGGCAACTTTGGCTTTCCCTAGACCAGTGGCTCTTAATCTTTTAGGGGTCAAAAGTACCCTTCCCCAGAAAAAATGCACAAATGCACATACATGCCAGATGTTTTTTTCCCTCTTCAGGGGCCCCTGGTGTAGAGCAGGCTGTGATGATCTGTTCAGACCCCCTTGGGGAATGAAAGACTGTTTCTGTAACTGCCAGGAGTGGGGCTAGATGGCCCTCAGCTGTCATAGTTCTTTGGAGATTCTCTCAATTGGTAGGAAACAGCCTCACACAAAGCCACACCTCCTGCCAGGGGTCGGTCCACTTCCAATGACAGATCCTTGTAGAAATCAAAGGCCTGAACCTTTCACCTCACCTGGGGACAAGTCTGAGGGTTGTCTCAGCTCAGGGATCCCGTGTGGTCCTGGGCCCTTTGTCAGGACTCTGCTTCTCCCACTCCCCAGCCGGTGTCCTTCTCCTCCTTCCACTTGCATTTCTCCCATGACCATTTTCTAAGCCTCATCGACACTCTAATCTCCATCCCTGAGTCTGCTTCCCAGGGAACCTACTGGATTAAAAGATCTGGCAGCTGGCAGAAGTTCCTTGAGGACAAGGATAGTGTCTTAATGACTATACCTCCAGCAGCTCTCACTGGGCAGGGTGCATTGTAGATGCTCTAGAAAAATTTATTAAATGCATTTCAATGCGTTTTCTCCTGGTTCTCTGTTCTGTCCCTCTGTTGTCCCAGCAGGAGAGTTCTCATCAGACATCCAGGAGAAGGGGACAGCCCTACCAGCAGGATGCCAGCAGAACCAAGGCTGCGGGTCTGTTCCTGGGAAATGTACTAGTTGCCAACGAAACTGCAGATAACCATGGGAACAGAAGTCAAGCTAACTGGTTACTACAAAGCAAGGGCAAAGGGGACCGGCTGATGTCAGAGTGAAGGCTCAGGGGATGGCTGCGGGGCTAGGGGCTGGCAGAAATGGGTGGTGGACAGCTTTTTCCTGCAGGACAAATCATTTAGAAGTGAGGATGGTCCCTGGAAAAAACCCACTTTAATCCCCACTGTTGGAAATTCCTGCACAGAACACGTACCTATTAAGGGCTCTGCTGTGCCAGCACTGCAGCAGCAGGACTCCAGCTTGCTCCTCCTCTCACTTCTTTGTCACCTAGGCAAGTTATGTCACATCCTCACTGCTGACATTTACTAAGTGGCTATCACTATGTGCCCAGCACTGTGCTGCTGCTTTACAGACACTTCATCTTCACAATAGCTTCAGTAGGAGATATGGATTAGGATTCCTGCTTTATAGACAAGGAAACAGGCCCAGAGGGGATCAGCAAAATGCCCAAGACATGCAGCTAGTCACAGGGCAGGGACGTGACTCCAGGTCTCCGAGGCTCGCTCTCCGCCACCGTCATGCTTAACCTCTATGAGCTTACTTTCCACAGTTATGAAATGGGTACAGCCAACTCCTACTGCACTGGGGTTTAGGAATTATATAGCTTATGTGAGAGGCCTCGAGGGTGCCCAGTATCCGGTCCATTCTGTTATTCTCCCAGTTTCCCTGGTCCCCTGCCTCAACACTTCTCTGGGCTGGGAGGAAGGATGGTCCCATTTGCCGTCTCTACAAGAACAAACGTTTCTATCCCAAGTTCAGTGTCTGGCATGGGATCAGCACTCCCTGAATGCCATCAACCCAAATGGATGATCAGAGTCCCCATCCTCGGTTCTCTGCACATTGGGGACCCAACTCAGTCTATCAACAGTCATGATGCAGAAAGCTGTGGCAAGTATCACAAAGACCATTCTCTTGGTTCCATGTAACTCTACTCTCAAACCACTGGGATTTTACTTTTTTTTCTCTCTCAGCAGAATGGAGCAAAACAGATGGAGGTGATGCCCCGAGCCCTCGTTGCAGAGAGGGTAGAGAATGAAGATGAAGGCATTCTAGGCCCTGCCTGCCTTTGCAGGTTTCTCCCACAGGCAAACTGCAGCTCGTTCCCATCCCCACCACGACCTCGACTACAGACATCCTCCTATATTGGGGGCAATAACCTTCCTTCCACGGTAGGCTCCCGGGAGAGTCTGTGGGCATGTAAGCACTTAAAACTCCAACCTACAGGTCAGCCTACATTCCCTCCTCCCTCTTCAGAAGCCCTGGAGCTGTAGGCTTCATGGGGACAGACACCGCAGCCTTGGAGAGACAAGTCACATCCTCAGCTTCCTGAAACCTGCGCAAGCACCGAGTTACTATGGCAACACTGCAACCCTGAGATGCAATGGCTGCAGAAAGCATGGGTGCTTCTAGGGTGAGCAGGGTCTGGCCTGGGAGGCCAGGTGATGGGGCTGGCAGAGGGGGAGGGGAGGGAGCCCTTCTCTAGGATCAGCTGGTAATTGCTGCTAAGTGAGGGGCTGTCATTGAACCCAACATGCGGGTGGCAAGGGCCCCGCTCTGCACCCTGTAATTACTGCACCAGATAGCAGCTCTTGCTCCCTGTGTGGGAAGACTGGGATGGTGTGTGTGTGGGGGGGGGGATAGACAGGAAGCTCTTGTCCATCTGAGCCAGGGGGCCTCTGGCAGGCTCTCCACAACCCAATCATCCTGTATCCCAAGCAGCCTCCCAGGCAGAGGCAGAGAGGCAGAGGAGCAGAGGGGCAGAGGCAGAAGCAAGGAGGTCCTGTCTCCTCCTTTTTGCTGGTTCTCCCCACATCATCTCTTATGGGGCATAAGCTTCCTTTAATCCTGGCCTCTGAGCTTAGAGAATCCAAGGGGAGCAGAGGTGCAGGGACCAGATAAGGCACCACCTCAGCAGAGCCCTTGGTGTGTCACACCTCCATGTGTGGAAGGAGTCTGAGCCGTGAAGCTGAATTCCTGAGCCTAGAGGCTCTGAGGA